AATATTTCTTTACTGATTTCCAAGCTTGCGTATTATGGTTTCGACAGTGTTGCGTTAAGGTAGTTTAACAGTTACCTTAGTGATCGATCGCAACGGATTGAGCTGTGTGACGATACAGGGAGAAAAAGTCAATCCACTGCTTCAAATTTGTCGGCTCTATCTTGGGACCGATCCTGTTCATTTTGTACAGTGCGGATGTTACCAATTGCATAGAGAATTGTAAATACCATCCTTACGCTGACGATCTGCAGGTGTACATTTCGTGTAAGCCAAGTAACACTTCTGGAGCGGCACTCAAGCTTAATGAGGATCTGAATAGAATAAAGAGTTGGTCGGACCGTAATTGCTTGGTGTTGAACCCAGTGAAATCGAAATTCCTTGTCCTAGGTTCGAAGGCCCAGATATGTAGCAATAGGGAGCAAAATCCATTAGTGGCTATTGAAGGTAATCGCATAGACCAGGTATGTGAGACGCGAAACTTGGGTATTTTGATGGACAGTGAATTGAGATTCGAAAAACATGTGGTTGGCACTGTAAGAAAGTGTTTCCAAAGTTTAAAGGTTTTATACCAGATACGCCAGTTCCTTAGTTTAGATGTAAGGGTTCATCTTTGTGAGTCATTAGTACACAGTAATAGGGCAATGCTTGCTGGTGAGAACAAAGAAGTTAATCCAGCGTGTCCATAACGCATGCGCGAGATTTTATTTCCATATTCCACCTCGAGCTCATGTGTCACCTTACCTTAATAAAGGTAAACTCATGAACGTGAGTCACCGACGCTCTCTCCACTTTGCAACCTTGCTTTTCGGCATAGTTAAAAATAAAAGTCCTGTGGAAAATATAAAAGAAGTGATTAACGGCATGCAAAAGCTACAATATATGGAGGGAACATTTGTGCACTTTTATGAGGTACACCCTTTTTTTTTTTTTTTTTTATGAGGTACACCCTGGGCAGTTTCCGCAGAAAGTAAAAAAAATCGAAATTTAAACAAACAAGATGGCCGCCATACAATTTTCAAGATCTTGTTTAACGGACACTATTAGAGATATGTAGGTAAAAGATGCTCGAAGGAATGTCCTAGAGGGTAACACTGGTCAACTGCCTGGGTTAAAAAAAATCAATATGGCGAATTATAAATGGCGGCCGAAGAAAAACTTGCTTCGATCCGGCTGTAAATTGGCATGCTCTTTGGAGTCCTTAATCATAATTTGGGGACAAAAGTTTTTTTTCGTTATTTTTTAGTATGGTTGCCATATGAGGGTTCTTTTCGTTAAAAGTAGCCGCTGAAAAGACTTGCTCTGATTCGGCTGAAAATTGGGATGTAGAGGCCCCTAGAAATGCCGGATAATAATTTGTGGTCAAAATTGTTTTTTCGCCATTTTCAAATATGGCCACCATAGAAGCATTCGTTGGCGGCAGAAAAAAAATTGCTCTGATCTCTCTGAAAATTGGCATATGTGGCTATTAGTGCTTGATAATAATTTGGGATCAAAAATGGGTTTTGCGCCGTTTTTGAATATGGCCGCCATACAAGCGTTTATATAAATTAGCTCTAATTCAACTAAAAATCGGTAGGTGGGGGCTCTATAGGTGCTTGATAATAATTTGCGGTGACAGTTTATTTTTTGCCTTTTTTCAATATGGCTGCATTACAAACTTTTTTAGCGGCATATGAAAATCTGCTCTAATTCGATTAAAATGGACATGTCGGGGTCTCTATGAGTGTTTAATAATAATTAGTAGTTAAAATTTCTTTTGCGCCATTTTTCAATAGGGCTGCCATACAAACTTTTTTGGCGATAGATAAAAAATTCTTGTAATTCGACTGACATTGGCATGGCTTCAATCATAATTTGGGGTTATAAGAACAGTGAATACTTTTCCCCGTTTTAAATAATGGGCGGGAGCTCGTTGAATATCCTCACCGACATCGAGTGGGGACATGAGCTGTGTATGTGTAGATGAGATCGTGACAGAAGCAATCTATTGCGTGGTCTAAAGTGTGTCGTTGGGGCCAGTGTTGGGCGTTAATCAATTAAATTTCAATCAGAAATTCAATCAGATTAAAAAATCTATTCAATTGAAATCAATTGCAATTGATTTAATTGCCATTGATTTTAATTGCAATTGACTTCAATTGAATTGAATTTAATTGCAATTAATTTTTTTAGTTGTTCTAAGAAACAATTGAAACTAACAAGTAAAACCGAAAGTACCGAATAAAAGTGTCATTACGAATATGGGTCAGGGGTTAGGTTAGGGGTGTGTTAGGAGGTGGTTTAGGGGGTCGGTTGGGGGGGTTGGTTGGGGTCGGTTGGGGGTCAGTTGGGGGCTGGTTGGGGGCCGGTTGGGGGGCCGGTTCGGGTGCCGGTTGGGGGGCCGGTTGGGGTCCGATCCAGTTGGGGGGCAGGTTTAGTGCCGGTTGGGGGCCACTCCCTATCACACCCCCTAAACCACCCCATGACCCACCCCCTGTCCCAACCACTGACCCACCTCCTAAACCACCCCTGATCCACCCGCTGACCCACCTCCTAACCCAGCCCTAACCCACCTCCTAACCCCCCAAACCATACCCTAACTCACCCCCTAAACCACTCCTAACTCACTCCTAACCCCCCCAACCCAGACCCTTACTCACCCCTAACCCCCACAACCCAAACCCTAACCCACCACCTAACCCCCAACCCAAACCCTAACCCCCAACCCAAATCCTAACCCACCCCCTAACCCACGCCCTAACTCACCCCCATATGCCCTATAAATTTATCATAATTTTATTGTCAGTTTTAATTGTTAATTGTTAATCAAAAACATTGAAAAGATTGAAAATTAATTAATAGTTAATTGTAGATATACGCGATTAACGATTGAACAATTGTTAGTTGCTGTTTCGCAATTGACAATTAATTAATTGTCAATCTTCAATTGCCAGAACAATTAAATTTTGCCTAACTGGTTGGGGCAGGTTGTCAATGTTAGTATAAAAGTCAGGGTGTCGTTTAATAAATTTACAAATTTCTAAAATACACAGTCAGGTCATAAGTATTGTCACACAGTAAAAACTTTTCTTTTAGAATGCTGGCCACAAAAAAGTTTATTGAATTCGAATTTCGAATTGTTCATGAAAATAAAAATGTAATACTTTTTAGAATTTTACTCATTTTTAAATATGGAGTGGACGCTTAAAGAAGACCGTGTTGCAGTTATTGCGTTGCATCGTTGCGGTTACGCGCCAATTCAAATTTTTGACATACTGAAAACTTGAATATAACCAAAAGATTCGTTTATCGTACCATCAAACGATACAATCAAAGAGAATTTAAGCACTACGTTTAGATACAATGAAGACTCTAGTGTAGATGACAGGTCAAGAAGTGGTCGCCCTCGGTCTGTTAGGACTCCAGCAGTGATGAAAGCTGTGAAGGCGCGAATTCAAAGAAATCCCAAACGTAAGCAGAAACTGTTGGCCCTTCAGATGGAGTTAAGCAGAACCACTGTGAAAAGGGTGTTAAATGAAGACTTAGGGCTTCGGGCATATCGAAGAAAAACAGGACATCGTTTGAATGCTCGTCTAATGGACCTGAAACTGAAGAGATGGCGCGCTTTGTTGAAGCGGTACGCGGGAAAAAAATATCGGGAAATTCTTTTTTCAGATGAAAAAATTTTTACCGTAGAAGAGAGCTACAACAAACAAAATGATAAGGTGTACGCACACAGTAGTGAAGAAGCGAGTAACCGTATTCCGCGTGTCCAACGAGGTCATTTTCCATCCTCGCCCATGGTATGGTTGGGAGTTTCTTATTGGGGCTTAACAGAGGTACATTTTTGTGAGAAAGGTGTAAAAACGAATGCAGTTGTGTATCAAAATACAGTCCTGACGAACCTTGTGGAACCTGTTTTTCATACCATGTTCAATAACAGGCACTGGGTATTCCAACAAGATTCGGCGCCAGCTCATAGAGCGAAGAGCACACAAGACTGGCTGGCGGCGCGTGAAATCGAC